GAGGCACAGGTAAAAGCACCAACGGAGATAATGTCATGGAATGAGACTGTAAAGTAACAAAAGGGCAGTTTTTTAAGACACTTTACTAACTCTGTTTAACAAAAAATTGTTCGATTCAACAACTACTCATTTAATTCCCACTTCACACTTTCATTCTCCCACCCCAGTCCCCTTAACACAGGCACTCCCTTCTCGCCACTCACTCAGTCTGCTCTCCGAGTCCAAAAGGCCAATTCGATTGGCATGAAGGTTTGTGGGGACAAAGTCCAACTCCGCACACTTTCGTTCTGTGCTCCGTTTAAAACTCGGACCTGGGGAGAGAGTGGGATACACAGTGAGTAAATGAAAAAAAAAAAAAAAACAACGACAACAACATGCGACACACTCAGCTAACCGGTGTGATCAACAGTGCTTCGAAGACAGAGTTCATAAAATTCAATGATATTCTTCATGCCCAATAGACGCTCCTTTCGAAGGCACTCCAGTGTCGGATTAGACTGAAATGACATGGAAAGGTTAGCCTCCGATAGTGGATGAATTTAAAGGAGGACTTGGAAACCTACTACTGACCCTTTCAGTCTCTCCAATCCCTTTCTGACAATTTAAAAATCATGCTCTCTTATCCAACAATGCCCATGAGCTCGAGACGATGTCTGGCTAGCAGAAAACTTGTGCTTAAGACGCCGAGCAGAAAACGTCTAACTAGTGCTTGTAGGATGTAGAGGTGATGTCCGTGGAAAACAAAAAATAAATAAATAAATAAAATAAACGCATCAAACCTATTGCCTTAACCTCATCCCTCCCTCCCTCCACCCACCGCTCACTTCAACCCTGACCCCCACTCAGGCCACTTGTCATGCGACGCATGACGTCATAGTGAAGCCGAGAGGGGAAAAAACACACAAAACTAATCTGTCTTGGCTAACAAGACAGTAGAAGTTGGTTCCAATGCCAACAGTAAAACCCGGACGAATGACCCAAGCCCCACTCAGGTTAACCCGAGGTCAGTTAGCCACCTATCAAAGTGCAAATGCACAAAACTGACCTTCCTGATCCAGTCCACTAGCTTGTAGACACCTGTCCAGTTGTCAAATCTGTGTGGCACAGTCAGTACGCACCCACAAAACAAGTCACCTCATTTGCCGTGATCGTGTGTTTATGCACTGGAACAGGAGTGTCACACGTTGGTCCCAAGACCAACTGTCTCCGTTGTTTAGGTGATTGGAATGACCACTACCAGACATGTGAACCTGTCAAGCGGTTTGACCGTCTCTTTGACCTACAAATTGTGCTCATAAGGTGTTATTGCGGTTGAAGATGTGGAGCCTGGTTGTGATGCTCTTGAAAGTCCACTCCAATGCAAGTAGAAACATAAGAAGGCGCCAGAGGTGGATGACATACCATCTTGGTGAATGATGTGTGACTGAAAAAGGCGTGACACAACAATGTCGGCAAGTGGAGGGAGTAAAAGGCGACACTTGAAACGCTAAACAGGGTCATTCTGCGTGGATTGAGACGTTTATTGCAGTGTCATGTGACTTTGCACTACCCAGTAATAGCAGGAAATGATGCAAGATTGATGGATAGCGGTGCGCTGAGAGCAGCATACTCGCCTAACAAGTGGCACCAACGCGCATTCTCACACGGTGGTATGAAGACCTCAAATATGCAGCTGATAGGCAACGTTTTAATAGCCAGGGAAAAAAGAAGGTTGAGAGAAAGAGAGAGAAAGAAAGCCCCGGAACCCAATGACAAGGAGGAGGGGAGAGAGATTAAAAGGTGAAGGTGAACCTACGCCTTCTCCTCCTCAAGCTCCATCAAATCAACTCACCATGCCAACGCGTAGCAGAGAATCATAGAGAAGATGTTCCTGAGTGATCAGTGATTTGCTGAAGGGGGCACAGAGAAGCATGACAGTTAAATTGACCACATCAAGGAGGACTAGAAGAAGAGCCTTACAGGTATTCAATGGGAAATTGGAAGCAGAATCGAGATTCGCCCATGAACTCCACAACACGCATATTCTCCCCAAGAGTGTGAGGAAAGACGTAATTACGAGTGAGAATGTCCTCGCAGACATTTCGCAGCTGTTGACTGTGAACGTCGAGCTAGTAAGACAAAAGGGAAGAGAAGAGAGGCAGGTTGAAGGTGACCTCTACCTCGTTTAGATTGACTCGTTATCCACCATCAAGTTGGCCACGCGTTCAGCTGTGCGCCAGGGAGGACAATCAGGCTCAATCAAGCTTTCATTCATTCCCCTTCCCGTTCAATATAATTATGGACACTCAGTGAACCATCCAAAGCTATGTCGCCGTCTGCCCAGCCCAAATACATCAGCTTAGAAAACAATTTATACATTTACCCTACCAAAAAAAAAAATCTATCCGCGCCTTGTTATCTCGCCTCGATCAATTTGTCCTTCGACCATCCAGGAGGCACCCCAAACTATCCATTCACGTGCCTACACATCACCCCACTCGCCCCTCAATCCAGCCATTCAACCAACAACTCATTTGTTCACCAATCTAACGCCCCATCGGAGTAGGTATCCACTCAATCAACCCTCTAACCCATCAAATCTTCACTCCGTCCACTTGAGCTTCCAGCATTCAACTTGAATATGCAGTCCGCTCACTCCATCAACAACCTACATGGTCAAAGTCCAATGCGTTGCTGCGTCGATTCAAAACCTGTACAACTAGAACGCAGTCCGTAGCCGAGGTCCTGGTCGAACTCTTTGATTCAGCGACCAGAGGCAAGTTCAACGTGGAGGCATTGCACAAGGCGTCGAGTGTCGTCTGTGCACTGGCAACCACGCGGTGCTGTACGCGAGGAAGGAGTGAATAGAATCTCCATAGATCGTTAGATCTGCAAATTTTCAACCTCAAACCACACATACCACAGAAGCACGCAGATCTTTAAACTCCATAACGTCGAACTTTACCATGGAGGTTTTGGAGGCATTTTCAAAACGGAGTTTCACTGTCTTTAGGAAATTTGGACAATCTTTGGTCTAGTGAGGCGATCAATTTACAACGCAATTATCCTACCCGAATTTCCGTCTCTCCAACTAATTTCCAGGAGTCATTATCCCCTGATTGGTCCAAAAAAGTGACTATTTTAAAACTGAGCCCCGAAATCCGCGAAAATGAGGCATTCTCATCAAGTAAACCTGAAAAGACGAAATTGAACGCTTTAAGTAGGTGTTCTGCGGTTAAGCAAATGCGAGTGATAGAAGCAGTTCACATAATTTGATATACCAATGGAATTTGACCTCTTTTTAAAATGCCCTTTTAAAGTAGTCTCAATGGAACGAACACCTGATACTGCAGCCTATCGTTTAAGGGAGAAATCCTGTTACTGCAGGTGGAATCAGGCGCTAGATAAGTGTCACGTGAGCTGGGAGGGAATCAGGAGAGTTACACGCTAAACAAATAAGTAGGTGGTGAGAATTTCTGTGGCTAAGAACGCAGTTTAATGGTGCACATTTCCTCTTTCCCTTAATATGGTAGTATAAAACGCTGCCATTGGTCTTCCAGTCTTAAAAAATGCAACACTGATGACAACACCGTGCGAATGACCCATCTGTGCTGGAAAGTATGATGAACTCATAAACAAAGGCAGTTAGTGGGAAGAAGTAACTTTATGTAGAAAATGTTCCACTCACTAAGCAGTTCTACCGATAGGTCGACAGCATTATCGAAAAAAGAGGTTCTAAAAAGATATGGCTAAGATGCCACTTTAAAATAGCCGGTTTGATGATGTTGGCATGGCAATAGTTAAGGCTTGAGGTAGTGATTCCAATGAGGAGAAGGCAAATCTTGGAATGGGTACGACCTTATTCAAGTTAATTAACATAACCAATGATCCTGCCTCCAAGAAAACTTAAAAAATTCCTAGTATAAAGAGGTATACACATTAATTCACCGAGCCGCATTATCAGGCAAAGTGGAAACCATCAGCAACAGTGGCACTTAATTATTTACGAGTAAAAAAGGACTCACTAAGTTGCAATTCCAGACCGGCCTCACTGAATTCATCTGAACCTAAAAGAGGATAGAAAACAGTCACCTCAATCGTCAACAATTCATCAGGTGTTTAAGTCGAAGCGTGTTGTTCGAATTACAGGTGGATTCGGGTAAGCTCAAGAGTGGATTGAGTGGATCCAAAGGATCCTTCCCAGTTAACTGCCTCAACTCTTCACGGAGCTGCAATCTTCTAGCCGACAAGTCAAATAATCCAGCCATTCTTATGTGGTTGCACCACATATTGGCCTCCTCAGCTGAACGTGCAGCAAAAAGGAGTGGAGTATCACCACATTCAAAATCTAAGATTGAAAAAATTGATTCAAAATACAAATCGATACCTATTTGAAAGGCGTGTTGAACGTCAGCATCAGTAACAGGCTTGGCTGAGCAGCGTTCCAGAAAAACTACGCCGACGAGGTCTGTTGAATGAACACCTTCGTTTCGAAGAATTACCAGAAGGTTTCCCTTCAAGCGACACCAGTGTTCACTGAATGCTAGTGATTGATATGACCAAATAAACGACCGCCTACAACTAGACTTCTTGAAAAATGAGTCTGATTTCTGTTTTAAAAGAAGGATTCCTTCAAATGCAGAATTCCAGTAGGCAGATATATGACCGAGATCCTCGCCGTTGAACCTTGAATGATATAGATAAAGGGCTAAAAAGGACTTTGAAACACAAACAGAGGAGCAAATAGTTAAGTTGGGAGACAAAAGGATATTATAATATTACTTTCCACCGATCACACCTTATGCCAAGGTTCCAACAAATAGTTGTTTAATCAGTGGTGGGTGACGAGCAATTAGAAATTATGCATAGATGTAGTGAGAATGCTGACGCCTTTGTATGCAGTAGAACTTTTAAAAATCACGCAATTAGGTTGGCAAGCTGGTATTGTAAAAGTAGAAAACATAAAATTGTCTTTAAAAAAACGAACAAACTTCATGAATCCGCAATCGAGACGACGGAGGCAACGGCATAGAATTCAAGGTCACTATCAAGGACGAACCACTAGCAAGCAGACCCTTGAGATAAATAGTAGCCAATCCAAGATAAGACCTAAAACGCAAATATAAACAAACTAAATTTAAACTTCTTAAGCTTCTGCTGAAAATGTCTGTTGTTACAGCTTATGTATTTTAATTAAAAATACATAATATTTTGTCTTCAGACGCGTACTCGGCACGAATGTGCTTTCAATGACAGGCTAAAATCATTCAAGACAAGCCGAATCAAGTAAAATACAGCCAAAATGGAAGGCATAATATTGTACTTTCGGCATTTGCTTTGCTCATGATTGTGTGGGCTAGTCTTCAGACGGAGCCAAAGCTCATTACCTACTCATCCTCCTGGAATGAATGTATCAGGTCATCGTAAAGCCTTCTTCACGTGGTGACAATCCTTGTGACGTTAAATGTGCTTAATTAACCTTGAAATCAGGTTTCAAAATTGCTTAAATTTGTGCATAATTTTAAGGCTGAACCTATGTACGTTCATAACTCCGATTTTAAATCCTTTTGCATCAGTAAATAAAAAGGCTTTTTGGATGGACTGGTCTGCTATTCTCCTGTTGTTACGACACAGTAATGATACATAGTGGTTTGCTCTCAGCACCCAATCCTCAATTTGTCATGGCACTCTAATTTAACAAAGCGGTCCTTTGAACTAATGAGCGTTACGGTCGCAGGAATACAGGTACAAATAATGGAGATGAACCTCTTTTTCTTAGACACCTTATGTATGACCTAATAAAGTGGCAACCACCTAACAGCTATTTGGCTGCTATGTTGAAATTATTAGGAAAGCTGTATACTAGCTGTGCAGTCAGTTAAGTGTTTGCCTTCTGTAGTCCTTTGAGATTTTCATGTAAGTAGATGAAGTCATCAAATGGGTTTATAAATTTTTTTACGGTTAAAAGAGAAATTTAAAGCTTTGACTTGGCTCAAACACTTTCCCAGGCACACAGAAGCAAGACAAAAATCAAATTAGCTGTTAGACAAACAGATGACTACATAAGCAAAGAATTCCTCACTCGAAATTTAAATGAGAAGCATCTGTAGGCTCTAGGTGTAGCATCTTGACACCTGACATTAGGTGGAAAACATCGTACTGAGCTGAATACATGTATGCTTGAGCTCAACCCTAAATTTATCCCATTAGCACAAGAGCCAGATGAATGCTGGCCATCAGACGGCCACACAAACAGTGTTACACTGGGTACATCCGATTTCTCTCAATTTTGTGTAGAGTAGGGAAGATATTTTGGTAGCACTTCGACAATTACAATCCTAGCTTTGTAAGTTTGTCTTTAGAAAGTTTTCAGAGGCTATACACTTAACTTTCCTTAAAATCAGATTTAGCAACTGTCGTTAGGAGAGAGTGAATGCCCGCAAAATTGCTGCATTAAATTATAACTATGTTTAAACAACCACTAATTATTCCAAATATAGAATGAATTCCTCAATTTTCCTTATCTACCCGGTTTTTTATGGAAATTGTTTAAACTAATGGGAGTCCGCAACCCGTAACCAAACTGGGACTTGTGCTACTGATATTCCACGTAAAATAATTCCACGTATGGAAATAATGAACTGAGATGGGGTTAAAATCCTTGAGCCGGTTTGTTTGGGAGCCAAATTTATTTTAAAGTTAGTAGATTCAAGTCATTGCTAATTCTACGAGTATTCGAGTCAGACATTAAGCTGTAAGTGGGAAATTAAATCGGTAACACCACAGCAATAATCAGTTATTGCCTCGGTTGCTTTTGGGTGGTAGACAGTCATTATTACTCCATTTTGGTTTTCCATTCGAGTGTTCCCGGTGCGGAATTTCTTGCATTTTTCCGTCTCGAGCCGTTAATCTGTCCGCCTCTTCTTCCATTCCAAATGCACTTCTTCTCCTTCTTCTTCACTTTGTTACTGTCTGGTCGCTGTTATTGCCTTTACTTAGGCATCAGAATGCATTAAACTTATAAACTTTCACCTTTGACCCTCCTACGCATTGCATCTTGTCTAGTGCTTTGGAGCGTTGCGCACGTATTTACTTATGTGTCTAGAGTCAAACAACCGAACTCAAATTCATCCATTTGCTTTGCTACACCAGGCCTAATTGTCAGGAATAAATGCTGCGAAATCTGACAACTTATAGAAACATTACCTAATGAGGCCATTCCTCAACAGCCAAAGTTGGCATCTCAAGGCCTTTTCTCCCCCTAAGTCTGTGGGTAGGCTAGAGGTAAGTTGCGGGTGGTGAATCCTCATTCTGGAGTGCTCATCAAACTGGACTTGCACCAACTGGACTGGAGGTGCCAACATTTCCTTCCCTTACCCACTTACCGGTTTGGCGCATTTCATTGCTGTCTTTAACCTGTGGAATCGGGGTCTTGTACGACTGGGAGAAATGAAACCTCCGCCTCCTCCTCCTTTACCTCAATTTCGGGGCGCTCATGAAGAAACGGGAGGTAATACGGAGCCCAATTTCGATGCATTTCGTTCTACATATCTTAATTGGCAACTGCCCCAAGTTTTTCAAGAGTTCAGTGGCGAAAAATGCCGAAATTCCACTACCATTGTTTGCCACCTTTCTGCCCTGTGATGATGTCAACGGTCTAATTTTAATTCCTTCATTATTCTGACAGCAGACTTGGTGAATGTAAGTTTAAATGGGCAGTCAGAATCCCATCTTCCACACACGTGTGATTGTTCTTTTTGTCCCACTTTCAACAGAGCGCCACCTTGACGCATGTATGACACCAGTCATGAGGTGTCCCACCTTTTTTCATGCGTCATAACCAACGCAGGTGAGTCAACGCCCGTCTGGTTAATATCGTCTCCTCAGGACGAAAAGAATGTCTTCTTTCCTGTTTTGTGTCTCCTCCTCTCATTTCACTCTTTTAAACATCTCACTGAGATGGAGGGAAATTAATCACTTCTCGGTCGTTCTCTCTCCCTCTCTCTCTCGCCCTGCCTTCCCTCCCTCCCTCGCCCTTTTGTGTCATCTCAGTCATGCTAGCGAATCCATGTGAGCAGACTGGCAATCTCGAGTACTCGTTGGAACAATCAGGCAAATTAATCAAATCTCATTCATTCATTCATTCATTCACCCACCCAACCAACCAGCTAGTCACTTTGCCTGCCTGCCTGCCTGCCTTCCTGCCTGTCTGCCTACAAACACACACGCGCACACAAAACAGCAGCAACGCACGTTTCTGTGTGTGTGTGTGTGTGTGGAAGGCATTGACAGATGAACAGGTCGGAAGGAGAAGCAGCAAAAGACGAGGAGGTGGTGGCAGTGTTGGTGGTGGAAGAGGGGTTTCGTGAAAATTGCTAACATGGAATGACAGCGCACCCAGTGGGTACCACCGCCTTAGCCCCACTTCGCCCACCTGCATGCCTAGAGGTGGAACAGGGGGAGGCGGGAGGATTGGGCGGTGGAGGCGGAGGAGGAGTGGGTAATCTGATTTTTAGAAAGGTATTTTTTACCTCCTCCTCCTCCTCCTCGTTCTCCTCCTCCTCCTCCTGCCCTTCCCTTGCCCCCCTAACTACCACCGCCACCACTGCCTCCTTCCCCTCCTCTTCCTCTACCCATAGGAAAGGCGGGTAGAGAGAGAGAGGGAGAGAGGAGAGAAAGAGGCTGAAAAGGCAAAAAACAATTTCCTTGCTTCTTCCTGTGGTGAAACGATTCCTTCTCCTCACCTTTTACCGGAATTGAAAAAAAGGTGGCATAAAAAAGAGGGCAAATGTTTATTCGATGTAAGTCTACCCCAAAATGGATTGTAATAAGTCGACTTTTGGTGAGTGGTGTGTTCTCAAACCCGTCTACTTGTGCAGACATTGAGAAAAGCTGCAAGAAACCAAATGCTTCAATTCAATCCTAAAAGATTCTAAATTCCATTTTGTTGACGGTTTCCTACCCGCCTTGGGGACAAACAGGAGCACCAAACAGTTGACCAGCAGTCCGAAGTGACCAGATTTAAACATTCGAGAAGATGCTATCCTATTTCGAGGGGTTGACATCGTGGAACCCACTGCAGAAGCCACCTCATCACACCAACGCCAATGCGGTAAGACGGAAAGACGACTTATGGACAAAGTCAGCAATGTCTCATGCCCAATTCAACAAGCTGAATGACAAACCATTTGATGGCGTATTTTTGACACTTTGATGGTTTTAATAAATCAACCAACCTATCAATCTTTTTAATGCTTTTTGCTTCACTACCTAAGCTTCTACTTAATGGCGAGGGAAGAAGTTCTAAAGTAAAAGAACTCACAAATGAAGTACTACTCACTTGTAATCAGCCACCTTGCGGATGAATTTGTGGGAAAGAGAGTGGGTGATCAAAGTAGGCAACTGTCTCGAGTCACCGATCCATGCTTCCGGTGCAGTGCCCACGCTCGTCGGCATGACAACCGAGATGATTTAAAAAAGGAAATGGAAAAATTATTGCGTTATTTATTGTCTATGATACGCATAAAGGGAGGTTATAACGGGAAAAAAAGTGTCTTCTCCCAATTTACCTGCAATACATCTGACTTTTTATGAGTTTTGGGAGTAGCATTAAAAACAATCGCAAAATGCATCACTAGTAAAGCATTGGCTTGCCATAAGAAGGTTTTATACTTGTATTTTTTGATGACTATGGAAAGCTGCCAAGTTAAGGCGTTGTTGGGGGACTTTAAATCCCTGCTAAAATTCCATCTAATCACGAAGGGCTGTTGGCCAGCCCTTAAAAATGCTGTCAGTTCAAATCTGAAATCATGCATCTGTCAAAACAAAACTGCCACAGTTTAACGTGATTACCTGTACCACTATAGACTCAAAATAAGACCAACAAACGGTAGCCAAAGCCTAATAAACTTCCCCACTCTGCAATCTGAAGGAGTGTAGAGGATTAAAAAGTTAAAGTTTTAGTTAATACTGCTTGTCATGTAGTATCAGGCATTTTTGAGAAGTGCTTCCCTATTTGTGTGAGAACAAATGAATTTCTTTTGCCCGAATGAGTGGCAAAACTGATCCAAACGGACAGGAGGAAAAAAATTTCAGATGTATTTGCTTCCAAAAACCCGAGGATTCACAAATAAGTCAAACCATGACCTTCTAACTTGTGGGCAGGTGAAATTTTTGCTTGAAACTGGGTGTAGGGTGAAATCGTAGTGCAATCGTGAATTTCATAAAGCCCGAAATCGATCCACATGAAGAGCGCGCTTCTTTTAAACTCCCACAAAATCGAGTGACGCTCCTCCTCATTGATGTAAATCAATTCGACCTTGAATAATAGGTAGAAATTACAAATTGGTTCAATAACAAATTAATATGGTATTTTTAGTGTAATTATTACAACTTACTCATTTTGGGGCAACCACAAATTCTTTAATAATGTATTTTTTTAGATTTCGGTTGGTAAAATAAGGCAACGTTGTAGAATGGAGTAGATTGTGTGGCGTGTAATGGACTCAACGGCCACACTTATCCACCCAAGACATTACTAAAATGCTAGCGGCAACAAAACAGGGCAGCATTTTCTAACAACCATGTCGAACTTATTCAATCATCTGGTTGCAAAGCCACTCGGTCCCCAAGGTTAAAAAGGCCTCGCTCTGTGTGTCTTGCTACCACTTCCCAGCTGTCACATCTACTTTACGTGTGATCATGGGATCGCTTAACGCCTCCAAGAGACTCGAAGGGTTAATGTTGATAGCAATGCCGTTATTTTGAGTTCATTGCTCAAGTCTCCATCGGTTCGAAGTCAATTGTCGTGATAACCCATTTTCTAGATATGTATTTTTTATGTTCAACTCTGTCCAAAATTGAAACGAAAAATTTAGCATGCTTTCATGCACACTTTTACGTTGTACTGAGCTACGAGAATTTGACAGTAAAATGTCCACTGCTTTCACCAAAATCGAAAACTCTGGCGACTTATTGTCTGACACGTACGTAGGGTCATGCGGATTAAAGTTGTTTTGGGGTTTTGTTGTCAGTTCTGAATTCACAACAAAGCTGTCCTTTTTTAAATAAAATTTTCGTCAAATATGTTTGGTGCTCAACGCACATAGTACATAACGACGGACACAAGATCACAGCAATCCACTAGTGTAAATCGCGTAAAAAGTTTTTTATCATCTTGCAGGACTAATTTGTCCATGATTATATGAAAAACTGCTTAATCCTTGTTGCCTCTATTTTATTTGTCCTCTAGCCTCAAAATCTTCCCAGTTGAAAGCGGTTTTCGAGATAAACTTTGAAATCATGAAGTGTGATTAAGTTTGACGGAAACGACTGACACGTCTGACCGCATTAAGCCGGTGCTTGCCAGTCTGAAAGCGTCCTATTTTCCATCAGGAGCAGTAACAAAGGTTCCCTCTACTTGAGCCTTGAATATGAGGAGCCAGACTCCTTAAATTATAAAAATCTTTCCTGGACGACTTTGCGACCTCGTCTGTTAGGTGAAAGCGCTAACTAGAAACCATTGCAGTTACTTGCTTTTAAAGGGTGTCTGAAAGCTTCGTTCATCATTCGCAGTTGGCAGTTTTGACAGGTTCGAGAGCGATTCATTTAAAACAGGAACAGAATAAAAATTCGCAACTAGACAGTTCGGGAATGGAATTGACCCAAAATCGAAAGCAACTATAAAAAGCACTTAAGTTAGCCAGAGAGTTTTCGACAATCCTCGTTCCAGTTTTCGTAAGGACCATAAAGATTTATTTGCATTTTCAGTATTTATTGTATTCTAAACAATGGGTTTATGTGCGTATTACAATAAATTTTGCTTTAAAATATTTTTTAACGCAAATTGCAGCGTGTTTTAGTGCATGCACTTTCTTAGCTGCATTTGCATTTATCCTTATTAATAACTTGCTAATCAAAACAAACTTAATACTATGAGAATCGAAGCCCTTACGGGTCCATTTATAGGGTTTCTAAGTCTTCCCTGCTAATACTTGCCATTTCACCTTCTCAAATCCTAGGGTATTTTACCAATTTTTGCCTAAAAATAAAAGGCCATACCAACCGTTACCATCCTACTTAAATACCAATTAAGTAGTAGGTATACAGGTAATCAGACTTAATTTAACTTAAGTACTGGTGTTCATTGACCCATTTTTAGTCAATCAGTGTAGAGAAGGCAACATATCTGTGACGATTTTTTCCCATTCTCTCACCACCACCAACGACAACAGCAACAACAACAACAACAATCGATGTCTGCGACCCCTCCCTCCTTCCACACGCTATTGGTCCGCTTCCACGCCTGTCTGTCCACTAAAACACGCGCTTCCTCTCTCCATCTGACCAATCCATGGGTGCGCATACGCACGTGTGCGCCAGAGCGTATATCATAGGGGGTAATCTATCATTCGAGCCAGACACATTTTGAAGGGGAGAAAAGGAGGGGAACACGGAAAACGGAAAAAGGGAGAGGGTGAGAGGTCGGGAAGGCGGGAGAGAGAGAGAGAGTGGGCTAGAGAGAAAAGTAGCAAGGAAGAACCAACAGGAACGCGAGGTTACTTGCACGCACAGGCAAGCACATACATACACACACACACACACACGCATACAGGAATAGCGAGGGATACTATCCACGACCTACTCTCCTTTTTCACTACTGCTGGCTCGTTAAGGGCAAAAGAATCCATCTCCTTACCTGCCTTCTTGACAGCTGTCTGCATCGACAAGACGATGACACTGCTATCACCACCACCACAACCGCTCCAACTCGTCAATCTGTCTATCTGCCATCGTCAGTGACAGAAATCATGGAGGCATCTGTTACGCGTGTCTAGTGTAGGCACACATGCTCTAGTCCTCCTTCTCCTTCTCCTCCTCCTTCTCCTCCTCCTCCTCTTCCGCCTCCTTCGATTATTCTTCTGGATCCCTATTTTCATGGCTTCAGTACAGGTTAGTGCAATCCTCTCTATCTACCTATCTATCTATCTGTGTAGAGAGGTTGTTAATCACACGCCTGACATAGGAAGCTATCTAACTTCTGCTCCTGCTCCTGAAGATGTAGAATTGACTGCTGCATTGCGTGCAATGTCTAATTTGGAGGCAAAAGGGGGACGGGTGGAGTGGGGAGGGCTCGTTGAAGCAACAGGATTCCTTCGGCACATAAAACGTGTTCGAATCACTCAGAGGCGCGTGCTCCATCGTGAGCACGCGTGAAGAAGAAAAAAAGATAAGGAGATTTGGGCAGGAGGTGAAAAGACATTTTTAAAATCGGCCAAGGCTTTAAACAACTTCCAATCCGGCTCCTATACAATGGACAAATTTGTAAGGAAAGGTTATCCACATTTTAGACTCGATCGAAGCCGCCTTTCAGTCTACCGGTCAGCATTCCTCAGATTAAAGGAATGTTTTTTTGCCGGAAATTAACTTACCCCCTAGTCACGCTTAAAAAAGTGGCAGAATTTCATAAATTTTTGAGAATTTCGTCCCAATCGTAAAGTAGGCGTAATTGTTGGATTGTAAAATGGACTGGTATGTGGTTTGCCGCTCCCGACTAAGTAAAAACAAATTTCCCTCTTGTTGCCCATGCGACTGACCTTCGTCGAAGGGAGAAGTGAATTCCTCAGGTGTCAGTGATTGCTTCAATTTTAGGCGAACATGCAATGCACCGCCTTTCATTGTCTCACGCACTTTAACAATTGGCAGTGATAAGCATGTCACAGAGTAGTTCAACCTCTATACAAATTAATCTACTTTATTAACAAACAAGTTTAGATTGAAAAGGTCAGTTTAGTTTAATTTTGGTGATTTTACAAATGTGCCTATTTAAATGACTTCAAAAAAAAAGACACTCTTTTCACATCCCAAAGACCCATCAAAATTCTCTTCGGAATACACTTTTATTTGGCATCACTCAGCCTTCAAGGTGTCAAGATTGCCAACCCTTATTGATTATCAATAATCGGTGATCAGTGATGTGCGCAGCCAATCGCAGTGTAGAGAGGCGTCCTCCCATCCTTTCGCCCCCTCCCCGAAATTGGGTCGATTAAAAAGAGTAGATTGTATGTAATTTTTTCTTAAGATTGGATTATTTTCCTACGTCTTGCTTCTCTTTCACACACACACACACTTTTCCCGCCTCACCCACACCCTCCACTCCCCATCCGTGCCCCTTCCCCCCCGTGCCTCTCCTCACTACCCCCTTGCCTCCACTTTCGTGAGTGTCAGTGAACCGAAATTCGCAGGAGCAGCAGCAGCAGCAGCAGCAGCAACACCAGCCGTAAAATGACATTTTTTCACGCGGAAAAATAGCCAGCATATGCCGAATTTATTTTCAACCAAGCCTGCTAACCAAACCTCTCACCTCCTTTCCCTTCCTTTTACGGTTACCCACCTAAGGTGATTGTTCTGTTCAGTCCTTATCTAGGGATTAAAATAGCCTCTTACAGCAGAAGTGAGGGCTGTGTATGACCTTGACTAGCTTGTAGCTTGAACGCGATTCCAAGATGGGGCGTAAGGGCAAAGGGTTTCTTTGTTAAAAAAAAATTTAAACATGCACACACACACATACACGTCTTGCCTGTGTCTACAAGGAAACCGAGGAGAAAGCAAAAAGCTATATAATTTGCCTATCTGAAGAAACGTTAAATACTTCTCTTGTCTCTAATTTATTCCCTAATCAGCTATTCAGTTCACCCTGTTCAAGCGTGGTGACCCCTCACTGTCCCCAGACAGAAGCTTCCACCTCCGCGACAGCAACCGGAAACACGTCAACAACAAGTCCATTGCAGACATTTGAAAGCACCAATGGAGATACACCACCGACACCCTCAAAAACACCTACATTTGCTTCCAGTAAATTGGAGGAGTCGTCAGTACAACCACCGCCTCCACCAACACAACTTCCACCATCGGTTTCCGTGTCCTCAACCGAAATCGCGATGCCTCCAAGTGTGACCAATCGCAGTAACCACAGCAACAGTAGTGGACAATCCCCACTTAAATTGGATATTTCACGTCAATCTTATGCCAGTGATGTGCACGCCTTTCAGAGACCGGAGGAACAGTTTGGCAGTGATCTCAAAAAGGACACTGAAGCATTGCACAAGTAAGTCTCAAGGTCATTAATTGTTCTCAGAAAAAAAATTTGCCCCTCTAACTTCATGGCGCGTGGGGAAGGTGGGGGAGGAGGAGGAAAGTTTCCTCTACTTAATGTGCAAAACTAAATCACTATGAAGTGACAGATTTACCCAAAGTAAACCGTTTTAAGCCCTCTTCTCTGCCTCATTCCTACAGCTCTCTCTCCCACCCCCCTCCCACCCCCTCCAATTCTCAGCACGTCTGGGAAAAAATTCCCTTCTTTTGGTCTTTTACGTATCCATCTTAGAATTTTACCCCTTAAAAGGGGAAGGCAGCTGAGGAAGGACGAGAATTGCAGATTATCGGAGAGTTATGAAAAAAAGAAGGGTAAAAGAGTGTTTGTTCTTTCTCCCACCCCACCCCTTGGAATGCTGTGACGTCCAGTCAGCCACAATTTAACGGCCTGTCATCTCTTACCACAGTAAAACGTTGGACGCCCGTTTTTTTCTACCCTTAACTAATTTTAGCGGTGGTAACAAAAGCACACCTTCGTTTATCCACAGGCCATTCACTCGTGGCAGCTTAAGGACCACCAAAGTATTCAGTTGTTCATGTAAAATAGGCACCAGCCACGTCAAAGCCATTGATATGATAAAAGCAATTCGATACTGCTTTAAGAGGATATTTTTAGGCTTATTTACTTAAAGAGGATGTCACTATGCTGGTATTTAAGCCCCTTTGTAAAGGGTAGCAGGTTTTACTGAGACGGTGATTCAAATGCCCACGTCAGGCGCCACACAATTTGACCTGATCCACGCATGCAAGTTGATGTGCCACAATTGTGTGCGATAGGTGTGATTGAGTAAGACATATTTCCCCATTTCGGCACTAACGACATGAGACGGTGACAAAGGGTAGCACTGTAGGGAGCACCATGTTGTCATTCCAGTGTTTTGCAGCCTTTATTTTGTTCAGGGCCGGTTAAAATCCTGTCTGAGCACTTAAAAGGTTGTTTCGCCTTCCAGTCATCCCCTCTTCCCCCTTCTGGCGCTGATCTTCGAAAAATGTCAGTTGGCCACCTGCACGCCTCGTGATAGCAGCCTTCGAAATGGTGGAATGGACATCTCCTCATCGGAATCCTTTCAGGAGGACATTGCTGTCTTCACAAAAGAGGTCTGTTGTTTTAAAGTCCACCTCCTCTTTCTCCTCCTCCCAATCAATCTCATATTCATCGTTATTATTTTCTCTGTGGGTGCAGTTTAAACCACGCTTTCCGGACTAGGGTACGTAGGTGGGTAGAAAGCCCGACCGAACGCACGAACGAATGTAGGCACAGACGTCAAGTTTAATTAGGTCTGATGGGCAAGAGACGTTGTGAATAGAGGTAGGACAGAGGGGGTGAGGGTGAGACAAAAAGAAAAACCGGGTAGTGAGGTGGAGGGGGGGGTGGGTTTCGGGAAAAGCGCGTAAAGTCGATTCGTGCTATTTTTAGCTTTTGAATGCCCTCTCACTCTCCCCATCTTTTGCCAGCTCCACAAAGTGTGCCTGTGAATCTACTTCCATGCTCTGTATGTCAGATTTCCAGATAAGGCAAGTCGGAGATAAGATACGTAGGATGTTTTGTGCTCTTGCTTGTTGCCAAAATATGGGCATTTAGATTGGTGTAGATGTCTACGACTAAATGTGCATCAACAATGTTTAAACAATTCGCACAACGGTTGATTGTTTACATCTTTGCTAAAACAACCAAGACCAGTTGCATTCCCCTTTGGCGACCCACAGAACTAAAGGCAATTTGAGAAAAAACCATTCCCGAAAAATGAGGCATAAGAAATGGTAAACTATGAAAGCGGTTAATTTCTTGTTATTTTGAAGAGGATTTCAGTGTACACAATAGTAGTGAGTGGTAAAAGTTGGCTAAATTTGTTTTCTATAATCTGTTTACACTTGCAATTGAGCGTTTTTTTAAAATGCAGTAAAAATACTCACGTTTTTATGCATTCATTTCGATGTTGAACAGAAATCTACCAATTAATACTCGAAGTCATCTCCTCAGGTTTCCCTCAACTTCCCTTTTCAAGTACAAAAAACGTTTATCGTTGCTACATTTAACTTACCTCGTTTTTAAGCCTATATTGTTTATATTTCTCCCTGTTTGACCTCGGGAAGCATCCAACACGCAGCCGGTATTTCAAAATCGGACATTTCTTGCAATTTGCACCATGTTTTTGAGCTGTGCAAAAAATCTGAAAACGTGTAAATGTGTAAATCTGTAAATCAGGATGGAAAGGTGATGATTTTGGGGACTTAGTCGTATTTAGTAGCCACACGATCCGTCTCCAATTTGCCATCGGAGCAGTGCGGTTCGGTGTTGTGTTGCGTCCTCCCCTTCATCACTGCCATCCCCCACTCTTCCTCTCACTCATTTCCTTCCCACACAGAAATGCCAGTCCACCTCGTGATTTTTCAAGTCAAGTGGTGCCTTACAAGTGGATGTTTTTAATTCAAATTTTGCATTTTGCTTGTGGTCATCACTGGGATTATCGTTTTGTCTCAATACGAGGAGGCGAAGGGGCAAAAAATAGTTCCAATAGCGTGGATTCCGCCTCGGACCCCGAGGCAGAATTGCTACCACCTTCCACATGCCATTCTTACATTAAGAAAATAAATCGTGCTAAAGTTTTAGTGATTATTCGGCTTGGAAGAAATTAATTTGATGTGAAAAACGGAGCTCAGACCACATCAAATCATTGCACGACAATTTATTTGGCTGGATATACTCTCCATGTGGGAGTTATTGTTCTGGTGTGAAAGTTGATGTCAAAATCGCCTATTAATCACCCAAAAGTTGGTTTGGATGGCGGCCGGAAGGCGGAAGGCCAAGTAGGTTCCCGTTCCCATAATATATCCGTAAAAGCTTTTGCTTTTGACTGCCTTATTTTCCGATTAACGTACCCCTTGTAAAGTTATTTTTTTCTGCGGTGCACATGTCAGAGGCACTGGTATTTACTTCACGCTTTCGAGCCTCTTGGACTTTGGCCTTATGCTTTCCACTTGGCCAGGGGTCACCCACGCTGTCGTCTTGTGGTACTCACTTTTTCCTCGATTGGATGTTGCACAAATTTGACGGCGTATACCTCACTGACTGTCAGAAAGAAGCTCCCACGTCAGTTGTCAAAGCACTGTCCCCACAGACCATGTGAACTTGCAAGTTTGAGGCGAATTTGGGGGGCAGTTGTTTTTTGTGAATAGAAATGACCATAAACCAACCATTTTTTTGTGTGAATCGACTTTGGTGCTCAGTGCCTTACATTTGGTCACCATAAAGTGCCAAAGGCATTTTTTATTGGCTAAAACATCCGGGAAATTTTTTAAAAAAGACATGTGTGCCTACCCTCCTTCAGCTTACCGGTTTATACTGCCCTCAAAACGCAAAATTGCAAATACGCTTCACCAAATATCCGTCCATTTTGCATTCCGGGCTTGTTCATGCAGTACTCGCAGTAACCGCTGTATGGCATGCGGTGTGGCGGAAGGAAGCTCTTTAAACGAGGCGCGTTCGTTAACGTACAGTTGAATATGCGTTCTTGTCAAACACGACTGTGCTTGGTTTTGGTGGCGGTTGCGGTGGTGGTGGTGGTGGTGGGAGATGCGTGTTTTTTCTCTCTTTCTGGCCTGACAACTCCCACTCACTCACTCTCTCTCTCTCTCTCTACCCTCTCCTACCCCCTTTATGCTCCCTCTCCATGCTTCCTGTAGTATGGGCAGACGGAATACTGAATGTGGGATAAATTTTCCTATTTTGGGGAACTTTTTTGGTTATGTATGACAGTGAAGTGTGATTCAGGGATGTTGAAGGGCATCTGATCTCTAGAGGTACTAAAATGACTGATAAAACTAATATATAACCATTTCAAGTGTCGCGAACTTTTCCATAATTAATGTCCCTTCTTAAAACTTGGTAAAATGACATAAAAAGGTGGGCTGAAATGCCTCGATGAACGCCCGTGGTGCAGTGAGTATGTGGGTCAGGGGAAGCATAAATCATTGGACGATAAAAGCATGATCGCATAAGCAAAAAGCATTTTTAAAAGGCCTGTGTATGGATGTATGGTGGATAAATAGGTAAAGGCGGTCTGGGTTTTGATGGATGGCGAATTGTGGTAGTGAATCGGTACCCGACCCGATCTCTTGAGGCCTCCCTAAATTTGCAATCACCTCCGGGAAAATTCAAAGCACAGCGGCTGTAGAGTCCACTTAGAAATCAGTGACGTGCAAAAGGGGAGTTAAAATTGCAAAGTTACAAATAAAGCCAGGACGGGAGGCATAGTCAGGTGTGGAGTAAGCTTGTCCACCCTTGGCCCCTTCATTGAACTAAACCTCCACGCGTCCCTTTGTCCCGCTGACTCACTTTGTTTCATTCTGGGATTAAAAAGGGAGAGGGGACAAACTTTTATCCTAAGTTGGTGTTGCTAAGAGGGAGACAAAGGAGCTAACGGATAGGGTCTAAGTTCCATCGATTGCAGTTAAGAGAGTCTACCTTCACTATCACCCCACTCTGTCGCACTAACTAGCTCGAGACGAGCACTTCCATTAGACGTGGTAGTGCGTCTGGAGCAGTCTTTTGGCAGCAGCCATTAGGCAAAAACTCCTCCTCCCACCCCCCCTCTCCTCCCTCCCTGCTGCTGCCTTGTCTTGCCTCCTCCATCATTAATGGAGGTGTAAGATGGCGGTGGGGGTGGTGACGTGTGATTCTGAGTCTACATCTTTATCAACAACAACATTACCTCACTCGCTTTTGTGGCTTTATCACGAGCATCTTCTCCTCCAATTTCCTTCCTCACACTTACATCCAATTATGCCCCCCAAATTGGCTGTTCTTCCTTCTGCCAGACCAAGGTGGAACACAGAAACCGTAAAGTGTGCTCACAGCGTGTGTGTATGAAAATAGGAGCCTAAAAAACGTGAAGCATTTAACTAAGATTTTCCAGCAAATCGATGTTTAAATGTGGAACAATTTGAAAGGCGCGTACTTTAAGCACGAGGGTTGACGACACCCTCCACAATTCCCTCAGAACCTCGGCTAAACAACTTTCAATTCTGCGAAAAAAATAGTGCACCCACAGTTAACATTAAATAATTTTGCATTTCCTATAAAATGTTGCAAAGCTCTATTTGTCAGTCTTTGAATGTTGAGAATGATGAGGAGGGAAATTGGAGTTGCGGGGTCAAAGTTGTGGTTGGTGGATGGATGGAAGCGCCGAGGGACGTGTGGATGTTTGTGGCAGTTGGAGTGGATGCTTGAGAATGGCGAACTGACAAGTGAGGTTGGGCGATTGGACGATGAAGGAATGTGTGTTGGAATGGATGAAGACTTGGAGAAACGAAACGAGTTTATGACAAGTCTCCACTACCTTCCAAGAGGTGGAGGAGGAGGAGGAGGAGGCCGAGGAGGAGGCAATGCAAGTGATGATGTCCAACTGCTCTGTAATTGTCCGAAATGATTGATTTTAGTGGAGAGGAAAAGAGTCCGAGGAGGAGAATGGTAAGGACGAAAATGTAACGTTGTCAGAATGACCGCGGTGGACAGGATAGATTTTGGGGAGTTTTTTGTTGGGTGTGGTGGACCTGCAGGTGGTGGTGATGGTGGATACATTAATTATCCATGCGGTCTTGAAGAGTTGGTTACCAGCCTGCCAACCCTCCTCCCCATGTCCCTCCTCCTCCTCCTCCTCCTCCTGCCCCTCCTGCTGCTGCTGCTGCTGCCTTGTCTGCTACTAGCAGAGACAGCAACAGTAGCCGACGTAGCTGCTGCTACTTTTGCTGCTGCTGCTGCTGCTGCTGCTACAACAACAACAACAAAAATAACAACAAAGCCCACCACAACCGCCCTCTTCCCCTCCCTCCACTCCCTCCATTCTCCTTGCATACGGACAAGGGTGTCACTTTGAGTTTGTCTGCCTCATTAATTATGTGCTCCCTGCAAATTCTACACATTCTTCCCATTTCTCGTTCTCTGTCTCGCCTTTCTCCCTTTTCTCCCCCTCCCTCCCTCCCTCCCTCACTTTCCGCCCTCTCACCGTCTCCCTCTTCACTGCTATTGATTGTGCATTAGTGCCTGCAGTCCTCGTAGACGAGTTCTTCTGGGTGAGACCTTTGTTGTTCTCATAAGAGTGTAGCTGCAAAAAAAAATTGTCCATCTCTTTGCTTCCCTTGCTGTGGAACTGTGCAATGCGCCTGTTGTCGAATTCCAACATTCTGCTCGAGGAGTGGAAATGAGGGCAGCAGGTCCTTCCAACACTGAATGATGGTTGAGAGGGGTGGTCAAAGAATGCATTCAAGATTGCTGAAAGTGGAAGACAAACTGATGAAAATGAAGGTCAAAACAGTTATAAAACCTTGTGGATGGATTGATGGAAGGCTTGATGACAGACCAATTTGCTGGAAGTGAGGTCACATTCTTTAAACACAACAATCTCCTCCTCCCTCTCCACTTCCTTCTTCCTCACCTCTGCATTCGTTGTGATTAGGTGCACCGGTTTGGAATTCCCTCACCCACTGCCAGACGGTGGAGGTGGGCGAAGCGCCTTTAATTCCCTCCCAGTGACACCCTTCAACGCTGGTCGAAGTAATCAGAGGGCACAAAAAATGCATACATTTAAATCTTTGAAGCCTCACATTGCTTCACACTTCCTATTGGTTACTTCTCGAGCACAAAAAATGGACAGGTTAGTTGGAAGACGACAAGAATGATTGGCATGAGCTGTCAAATGCTCATAAAAGTACAGAATAATGGGGAGACCCGAGGAAGGAATCAAAGTAACCCTATCCTCTTTCCTCATTTTCTCCTTTTGTTCTCTCCTCGCTCATCATTGTTAGTTTCTTCAGCATTCTGCTGTCGAGTCGCCAAGTCATCACACAAGGTGGAATGAGTTGAGAAACTTTGCAAGGCTTAGACGCCCAAATGGGAGATGAGCAATCAAGTAGAAAACCCACGTTGAAAGGAATGGATAATGTAGGGCCGAGGATTACAATAACAGGTCGCCTCCTCCTCCTCCTCCTCCTCCTCATCCTCATCCTTCTGCTCCTGCGCCTGCGCCTGCCACACATCTCATTTATCCAATTTGGCAATTTTTCAACTTCTGTGAACCGTAGAGAACTTAAAAGTGTGGTTATCACCGAAATATTGACACTTAACCTTTTCGGTCACGGTTGGCAGTCCACAAAAGAGAGGTGGTGGGTTCAGGTGGGTGGGTTTCATTAGCCCCTTCCCTTCACCTCCCCGTCATTCCCTCCTCCCGAGCGGCATGATAAAATGCCACCCTCGAGGCGAAGAGCATCCTGACCCCAAGAGGTTAAATAAACAGACATACTTCGATGACCTCCGTGCCACCTTCCTTTCAGATGAGCAATGCCAATCGACCCTTACTGACGTTGAACCAGGAGTTGAATTTCCTAGTGAGTTGACATTGCTACTGCCATGCAATAGACTTCAGTCTCCCATTTTTGAAGCTTCGTCGTCCCCTCCCTCTTCCTACTTTGTAGATGATTCAAGCAATCCACGTACTGCGATTCCATCTTCTGGAGATTGAAAAGGTATCTACACACTTGTTTCGACATGTGTCTTTCTGGCAGAGTGGTGTGGTGTTGAGTGTGGGTTGGGAAAAAAAAGGTGATTAATGTGACCATTGCGTGGGACAGGCCAGTTGACACCCCCTCCTCTCGCCTTAGACCCTCGGCCTTGGCCGCTCTCCACACCAAAAGTGTGGCGCGTGTGGTGCGGGGGTGTGTGTGTGCATGAGATTTCCCGCGTACACGCGTCGAGACGGAGAGGCACACGCAAGTCGTCTTTTGGTCCAATTTTGCCAGTGGTGTCGGATGAAGTCATGCCCCACTTATGTGTCTACCTTGTGGCAAAAAAAAAGAAAAAATAAAAATAAACAAACCTATTTTTTTTTTCTTAAATTTTTTTCGTGGCCAATTAAAAGAACTGGAAATGTGATTTTGAGTAGGGACGCTGTAGGAGAGTGTATTTTACGAGTGGAGGTAGTAAAGGTGTGTTTTAAAATTTTGTGGTCTTTTTTTGTCCTCAAGGTGCATGAATTGTGCGACAACTTTTGCACCCGTTACATCGCCTGCCTCAAGAGCAAAATCCCCATCGACTTGGTGATTGAGGATCGAGAATCTGGAGGTTCCACGGGTTCAGCGGCTGGTAGTCCACAACCCCCCTCTTCCGCTTCCTTCGCTTCTGATTTGACGCCTTTCGATAACTCCAACACCACCACCGCAACAGCGTCCGGAAAGTCCTCCACCCTCCGACAAAATGCCGATGACACCGAGGCGGGCGAGGAACAGGTCAGAGGATCGGGCAGCTTGGTAGGTTGGTTGTTGAAGATGTGAGGCGGTGAGGAGTTGATTGCTAAACTTCACGCTTCACTAAACATACTTCAGCTTTTCCATCGGTCTTAGTCTGGAAATGCAATGTATCAATGTTAGATTGGGTAAATTGATACTTGTAAAGCGGAATTTTTACGTCAGTAGCAGCCAATTAGACTTTTCAAGCCATGAGGAAGTTGTCTTACTCCATTTGGCAGCTTGTTTGAAGGTGGAATGAGATTTAAGTGTTAGTCTTTTTGAGGTTGGATGCAGGAGAGTGACATAAAATTGGCCTCTTGTTGTCGCTCTGACACGTGGATTCAGGAAGGCAAGACGGAGGCTTCCAAGGTGTTCACTCAATACTGCTTTGGGTTGACATTACACTGGAGAAAGCTTCTGCTTTCCCTCTCCCCCCGGGTAGTGGTACGACCTTCAATAATTTACCCCCATAATGACTCGTATGACAAGTAGGTTAATGGCTATTACGAACCTTGGTAACGAGACCATTCCGGGCTTGTCAACCGTCACTAGTGCTCGTAAATATGATGGAATAATATGGTCTGCTTCCTCCCCTCCCTCCTCCTTCTCCTCCTCCTTCCGCCTTCGTTATCTCCACCTGGTTATGGTTTTACCTCGTCGCGTATTTATTGCGCCTAACCTCATACTTAACCTCTCTCGCCTTTATATTCACTGCTCCTGGCTTGTCTAAAATTTGGACTGGGAGGAGGTAATATTGTAAGGCCGACTAGTGTGGTGCTTCTTCAAAAAAAAAACTATTAAAAATAAAAATAAAGGCTAGTGAGACATCGATGCTGTTTGAATGGGTTATCTTCCACCACTACGACGTGGTGCAATACTGCTCAATTTGGACGGACGTGTACAATTCCAGAAATCTAAAAAAACGTGTGCAAGCTTTGATCGTCAGTGCTCTTTCGCCACTTGCCATGATATGCCTTGGCGGAGCAAATGGGTCGAAAGTAAAAACGCGGCTCTCATAAGAGGTTTAAAAACCTCGTCAAATATGGCATTTAGAGAATGCGCACCGGGGAAAATGTTGCGTCCAGAAATACACGCAGTAATTAATGACCGGAGCGTCAAATGATACCACATTTCTCTCGCCTTATAAAAGGACACGCGGGCTGGTTTGGACAGCTTGCGGACTAGTAGACCGAAGTGGACGCATTTTTGTCTACAAGTTATCATCAAGCTGTTGAGTGTCACACTTTTAAGCCACCCGCCACCTTGCTCAAACGAGACGGTTGAGTGTGTGCAGGCCTAAGGGAGGAGACACTGTTTGCCTTCATTGCCCAATCCGCACAAGGTGTGCTGCACAGTCACATTATGGCATGCGGGACGAAACACGTTGTAGTGATGTACAAGTGGAATTGGAAGAAAAGCGGATAAGACGCCGTCGAAAATATGCACCCAATTAAAGTGAACATTGTGAGACTGAACCACAACCCACCGGTCAAGTGATCATTTAAAATGGTGCACAGATGGATTGAGTGTGACAGAAGTTCACGAATTGTTTCCCCTTTTCTTTTTAAGCTTAACTTTTAAGGTACAAGACAAAATGGCCCATTTATTAAACGCTCATCCAAAGTGGCAATGATGGCTGACTAAGTATTCCCTTCCCTTTGGTCCTCTCATTACGAGATACGTTTGGATTGCAAGGAGAATCAGCATCATTCTTAACCTGCTCAAAATCTCTGTTCCGGAATAAGCCCGATCCCATGTTACTTTTCAATCGTCTCACCTACATTTGACTTCTTTTTCGCTGCCATGAGCCTCTAAGCATACCCAAGATTAGAATCCTCTTGTTACAAAAACTTTACGATATAAAGCAGGTTAGACTAAAAACGTAGAGACTGACAAAGCCATTCCACCCACAAAAAGACTTAAAATAAGTAATAATCAGTTCAGCGATCGAAAATCGTCCAATCGACAACCTTTAACATGCAAAAGTTCAAAAACAGTTTTGGACACCACGATTCAACGACAATTCCGACGAGTGAGTTTCGAATTCGCGCGACTAAACTACTGTGGATAAATTGATCCGATTAAACGTGGCCTAAATTTAATACAAAGAACAGCCGTACTCCTTGAGACCACAGATGGAAAAAATTGTGCCAAATGTCTAAATTTTTGACTTGTGATGGCTCACTTTTTCCTTTTTTACAAAATTACAAAGAGAGTTAAGTGTAAATAATTAGTTAATTGGTGCACAGAGAAGTCGCGAAATCCTCCTGTTGGTTGACAACTTTAAATTGGAAAATTTTGACAGTTAAACGGCGTCGACTTGTGTCCAAAATGGAGCACGAGCATGACTAACCCTTCCCTCTCTCCCCATGCTGATCTTTCTCGCCTTGAAAAGAAGGAAATGAAACGATTTTTGATAGAACCTGTCACTGTTTCGGCGCCGCTGTCATCTAGAGAAATTTCTCCCTTGCATCGCCTACCCCTTCTTTTCTTTCAGGGTCTAGACTTTCAGCACAGCTTTAGTGGACCAGGATTTGTTACTCCCACACCTGGAAGTTATAGGGGCGAAAGCTTTTTGGAGGAGGATGTTTACCGTGGTCATCCGATGGCGGCACACTCCAACTCTTCCCAATATCCACCACCTTTGGCTCCATCGGCATCTGCATACTCATCCTATTCATCTCATGCCCATCATACTGACACGACGGACCAAACCTTACCTCCCCGATTTTACCGTGATGTTGATCCCTGGAGTCAGCAGGCCTACTTCCCCTGTCCAACTAATCCTTTCGCTCCTGAGGTGCCACGAATCTTCCCCTACGAATCTGGAGGTGGTAGCGGTAGTAGCAGTAGTGGATATGGTCAATACAGCACCCACGGAATGGTCAATCCACCTTCAAGGAAGGCCGATCTGAGGGGAAAGAATGGTTCGTGGCCTGGAATTGATATGACCGGATCCAGTGGTGGCAACGGAAATGCAACTAATGCGGGCAATTCCACGACAACAGGAGGACAAGAAATATCAAGTAAGTAGACCCGACCAGTGGTGACAAACATTCATCCAATTTGTCTCCCACCATAGAGGAGTTTTTTTACTGGCAGAATGGATACTACTCGGTGGAATCAGATTGTGAATTTCGACAAGGTGGTGGTTTGACATCCACACGACCTTTTGATGGGCTGATTTTTGACCTTGAAGAAGGAGAGTGAAACGAAAACAGGGGGTGCAGGAATGCACAACGCACTTGGGTGCGTACCTCAGGTACAAATATTTTCCCAAGAGAACTGCCTGACCGACAGGTCTGATCTGCACACGGCGAAATGCCATCTACTTCGCTAAAGGCGTACTGTAGGGGGACGATGGGGAGGGGGTCAAAAAGGGGAGAGGAATAGGGGAGAAAAGGCAGCGAGGCAAATGTCAGGTTTGGGGTGATTCAATTTACCCACCTCCGCTAACACCACCACCATAACAGCCTGCATGCGCTTGGCGTATGCCAATTAGCATTAAGTTCTGACCGGAGCGAATGTCAGAATTTAGGGAGAGGTGAGAGGGCTAAAGGTGGGGAGAGGGTTTCGGGCGGGGTGAACTGGGGAGCAGAGGGAGTGGTGAAGAGCTTTCTTTTGCTTAAATCGACCTTTTCTGCCTCGTTTCAATCGTAAAAAAAACTTCTATCACTATTTCAACATGAATTGCAGGGGTAGGACTTAACGAGGTGTTAACTTAGGGAACACCTTGACCTGAGTTAGGGTCTGCGACATGGATTTGATTGAGACCACCTTTTCCACTCTCTCACTTATGACGCCTAAGGCGGTATCCTAGACATGAAAAAAGTGTTTTTTTTTTTAAATTTTTATTTTCCTCGATAGTCTTTGCAACCAAATTAGGTCTGATAAGTGTGTGAACAGTCTGATGGGAAAAAGATGGTTTGACAATCACTTGACCAAGTTCTCTGCCCCTCCTAGCCATCAAAGTAACTTGGTTCTGGAGTAGGTGATTTTATCCTAATTGTTTCCCATCCATTTGGTGCATTCCATGCCTGATTGTGTGCTTGTGGCTACAGATGTATGTGACGCATGACATTGGAAGGTAGCAGGAGGAGGAGGAGGTGGGGAGAAGATGACTGAAGAGAAAGGTGAGGCATTTCTCCACTAACAAAATTTTTTTTGCTTCAATCATTGTTGTAAGGACAGAAGCAGCTCGTTAGTGGTAGTCGGTCAGTCAATAAGTCGTCAAGCGGCTCATTGGTACGAAAAAAATGTGTGTGTTGATGCAGTTTATTCTTAGCCTCGGGGACTTCTTAAGGTGATGCCTCTGGCGGATCCACCTAACGATTTGAGTCTTCACCTCATTTATGCCCTCACGCCTCCTTCTCAACCGATAGCGCAAAGCTGATAGAGAACTTTTAAGGTAGTTACAAATGCAAACTAGCTTTTTTATGCAAAAAGTCGTCATTTTTCAACCTCTGTCCACCCACTAACCAACCCCAACTTCCTTCATACCACATCCATGCATCCATCTGCCATTCATCCTCCTCCAATCCACTCATCCGTCCATGACAAATATGAAAACTCCTTAACTTTGGGAGCCTAAGTTTCCTAAAGGAGCCTTCGAAATCTACACGAATTTTTATAGGTTGACAGCTTGAAGTCTTGACATCGAAGCATTGTTTCACCAATGACATAAATCTGGCAGTTCATGCTTAGCACTTCAGCATGTTAAAGACACAGAACGTCTGAAAGCTGGTTCAAGGAGAGGGGTGATGTTGGATGGAGAAGAGGGGGAAAGGATAATTTTCTCCACTCTTTTCTACTCCTCTTTCGTCCCGCAGATGTTATTACCACCTCGACTTCCAGGTCTATGAGTGCAAGTTAGTACGGTGCGAGCAGGATTGGCTAGTCAAGGGGTGGAGGAAGGAGGTAGAGACAAGCATTACCCCCCCCCC